TCGCCCACAAATATACAGTCAATTCACTTTACAGTGCGTTCTGTGAAGCGCTTTGGGACGTCCTCCCGACGTGAAAAGCGCTATATCAAATGCAAGGATTATTATTATTATTATTACATCTTCCAGCGGTGATTTTACCAACATAGAATCAAAGAAATATACAGCACAGAGGAAGGCCATTTGACCCAATGGGTAGGCTCTTTTAAGAGCATTCCTTTCAGTCCCATTTACTTACTTTTTCCCCATACCCCTGTAATTTACTCCTTTTTAGATATTTATTTATTTTCCTTTTGAAAGCTAATATGGATTCTGCCATTTCTCCCAACAGAGGCTTCCATATCCTAACAGCTCGTCCACAAAATATACAGTCACAAAATGTACAGTCAATTCACTTTACATTATATTCTGTTAAGTGCTTTGACACATCTACAAGATGTGGTAAGGCACTACGTAAATTGCAAGGATTATTATTATTATAATTCTGTGTATGAAAAAATCCTCCTCATTTACTAGCTTGCTAATAGTAAATTGATGCCCTCTAGTCACTTACTCAATAAGCAGGTTTTTTGAAGACTGTGAAAATAACAGTGTTAAAAGTTAGAACATTACCCACTGATAAATCAGGAATCTTATTTTGTCATCATCAGTGGCGTTGATCTCCACTTTGTCTTTTCTGAATTTATTAGATTTTTTTTTGGTGATATATCTACCCTGCATTCTTTTCTGTTTTTTAAGAATTGATTAACTTTCACTCAGGGGTTCCCCAAAGCGGAAGAAATGATGCCTTCTCTCATTTCCTGGGTTGGGAGTATGGGTTACATCTTTGAGATAGAAATAAATAGAAAGGAAGGAAGAAATTTGACATTGACATTTTAAAAAAAAGTTTCATTCAACACCACACTGCTAACCAAAACCCTAACCAGTAAGGTGGTCCTAGCCGGACAAGCAATGGGAAGCTTGCCAGACAATGCTTTTAATGCCAAACTGTATGGTTTTAGCTAGTTAACTTTCTGCAGTACTTCAGCACGCTCTTTGGGGTCCCCAAGATTTGGTTCTTTCCCAACCTGCACCTAATACTCTCCTGGCTTAGGTAAGCAGCATATATCCCTAACAGTGCAGGACTAATTTTACTCATATTCATTTACTTTTCCCTTTGTACTATATCACCAATTCACAGCACAGACAGAATCTAATACACAAGATTAAGTAAAACGCGCAACATTTACAGCTCAGAGCGACTTCTGCCACTCAATGTCAGAATCCTGTGTCTGATAAATATTCCACAAGGTTAATCTCAATTTCATTTCATTTGAACACTGACACCAAAGATGTTTGGCATTGCGTAAATGCCAAGAGAGAGCATTTTTGGCATAAATCTTGAATTCATGTTATGTCTCTTATGCCAAAACAGACCTTAATGGAACCCCTGTCTTCACTGTGTCTCAGATGGTGGAATTGTTCTTGTTTTAACTTCCCCTTAAATGTTCTGTGTGTTTTATCTCTCAAGCTCACTATCTGGATAAGGTAGTGAAAGGTATGTCTTTCCTTCCAGTTGTTTTCTGTAAACTGTTCATGATATGTCTGAATCCTGATTTTTTTCCCACTTTGATATATTCTGAATTATTATTGTTTTGATAATTGTTTATTCAGTCTGTTATAGCTCATTCATGTAAACGTTTAATGGCTTGCAACTGTTAAAGTAGGAAATCTAAGTATTACCCATGGATAAATGAAAAGGCTCTTTCAGAAAAATGTAGCTAAAATGCATTGAAAATATTGAATGCTAATGAAAAGTAGCGTGGAAATCATTGGAGAACATCAGGCAAACACCCAAATGGCCAAGGTTTAAAGCTCAGTTGTGATGTTTTCCACCCCGTTGTGGTGTTGAAATTCCACCTCCTCTCCCACCCATTGTTACTTTAAAAATCTGGTAACTCTGTTAACTGTTGTGTTGTTATGAGCAAACAGTTTATTGATGATTACAGGTCCCTCCAAAAACAATGTAGATAATTATATGTGCATTTCATTTTGAAGCCTGGCCTGCAGAGGTTATTAGGAAACGTACTATATTTCTCTTTGAAGTGGTTGTGTTGGATTGTTGTGCATTTTTTTTCCTGATTTATCAGTGGGTATTGTTTTAACTTTTAACACTTTTACAATTTGCGTTATAGTGATACAGACTTTTTACCCAAAAGCAATTTAGTAATTTTGGGGAATACAATGGTGCAAAATGTATCAACACTGAAAGATAATGTGAAGTGGTGCTGACACATTTAGAAACACTAATAGTGCTGTTGTATTAATGCTCTGTGGGACAGAATCTACACGAAGCATAGCAACATGGTCCACTTAGCAATAAACGGCAAGATTTTTTTCAGCTTTATTACATAGTAAATATTTTAGCTCAAAATAAAATGCGGGGTCTCACTTGCAATATTTGTGAACTCGACTCATTGCACCAATTGAAATACAAAATCCATGAATCACAGCTTCCAAAGTTGGAAAAATGACTCACGTGGTACACAACGGCCATGTTGGTCACAGGATTTTTTTTCAGCCTCTGCTGAGTTTGGATTTGCCAGCAGGAGGTCTCATAGAGAGATGTTGGAATTAATGTGACGATTCCAATTTACAAATATTGCAAATTAGATCTCATCAGTGTCACTGTCAGTCCTTGAAATAAATATAGTTAGTTACTTTACAATCAGCAGGTATCAAATTATTCCAGCAGTTGGCTGCTTGACATCATCTTGTCAGCCTGGATCCAGTGTGAAATGCTTTGCACATATTCAAACCCAATTTTTACTTTCATTAATTTTGGACAATATTCCTGCTGAATAAGCACAAAAAATGGTGTGTAAGCAGCCGTAATACTGTTCCCATTGTTAAAAGACAAGACAGTAATATCCCAAACCAACACCCACTGATAAGAACCATCGATGGAGGTTGGTGACATAACCACACTTTAACACTCCATTTGAGCCACATGTTTTTTCAGTACATGGGCTGCAGATACAACCCTCACACTACAGTGTTTGTTTCTGCTCAGTTTACTACAAAACATCAAATCTTTTGATTTTTAGATTAGAAAAAATCTTGAGTTTTATTTTTTGTTACACATCTGTGCAGCCAACTATTGCAAGCATTTAGAATTAATTTGGCATTTTTGAACGACAGCCTAGATAGGATAATGCAGAGAAATACCATCTCCTTAAGGTAAGCAAAAATGTAGGTTAATTTATAGCCACATTCGTTCAAAAGCAGTTACCAATATATTACAAATCAGGAATCTGCCTTTCAAAAATCTCTCAGGACTTTTCTCTTTCATCAGAGAGATTGGATGAAAAGGTAATAGATTAGTGCCAATGGAAACATGAAAAATAATCTCAGTAGGCTCTGTCCTCGAGAATTGGGAAGCTAAAGTGATTATAATGGTTCTCTACAATTTTTTTTTAAACATCTACCACTGTGAATATTTCTGTAGGTTCTTTTCCACTTTCAGTACAAAAAAACTCCCATCACCAGTTGACTACAACCAGTCATGAATTATTTCCAGCTGACTCTATTTTAGGTAGCATTTTGGATGTCAAGCTGAATATCATCTTTGATCAGCACTGCAGTTTGCATAAGGCAAAAGGTTGGGTTCCTGCTTCCTTTCCCTTTGGTAGAGATTGAGGGAGGTCCAATGTACTCCATTCATTACAAACAGTAATCTTAATAACAAACCAATAATTTCAAGCAAAAGTAAGCCATTAGTTCAATTTGCCCATCCATCCAACTTCCCAAATAATTCTTTCAACAAACTATCTCAGCGCCAAATAATTTTCGATCCATTACATTTCAGGAACTTGTCTGTGTTTTTAGACCTTTATTCCACCACTTGTTCTGGTCATTTATTCCAGATGCCTTGATGAAGAACAAATCGTTAAATATTACAAAAGTAATTGTTAGAATTTTACAGTTTACAGCTACAATGGAGCAGTGTTACCATAATTTTTGGCCTGACAGCAATCATTTTCAAAGTGTTGTTTCTCTATTTCTTTTCCACCCTGTTCCTCTTTCTGCCTCTTATTGTCTGTCCATCATGGCACTGGTCAGTAATCACAGGCAGTGGTCAGGGACTAGGGAGTATACGAAATACCAATCAGCCACCCAGTTTTGCCCCTTGTGTTGCAGTACCTGCTGGGAGGGATACGACAGGCAGAAGCTGATTTTAATCTTCAGTGATATTTTATTTGTATGCCTTAGGCTCTCTTATAGTGAAACCCCAGCAGATGCTAATCATTGGGGATAAACTTTTGTTTAAAAAATAGAAATTTTCATACAATCATAGTATATTACAGCACAGAAGGAAGCCATTCGGCCCATCGTGCCTGTGCCAGCTGTTTGGAAGAGCTACCCAATTAGTCCCACTCCCCCACGTTGTCGCCATATCCTTGCAATTTTTTTCTTTTCAAAAGTGCCTTGTGAAAGTTGTTATTGAATCTCTTTCAGGCAGTGCATTCCAGACCGTGACAACTCTGTCTAAAAACATGTCTCCTCATTTCCCCTCTAGTTCTTTATTTGTCATTAAGGGAGACTTGGAGCCTCTCATTGCACAGATCGCTGTAAATGATGTCAGCGAAAACGCTTTGTTCTGTTGGCTGAATATTTTTGTATGTTTAAATTTAGTACAATGACATCATGTGTCATTGGGTACATTAAGCAAGATTAGTTAGATGTCCCACTGGCAGGAATCTTTCTCTGACCCAGTGAGGAACTCAGGTAATTAAACTTCCTCTGCACTATCATGTAAAGGTAGTTATATTTCTTGAAAGAGTTTGACACATTTTGTGGTCAGCATTTTCTGAAGAATAATCAACAGTAATATAGTCACATCTGAGCTGTAATGCTTCGAGAGGCTGTATACAAATACAAGTTATTCAAATTGTTGTTTTTGTTGTAATTGCACAAGTGTATGTGGAAAAACTGTCCGTTTTAAAAGCCACCTCTGTTGACAGAGGGCTGCCCTGGTTTATGCAATGGAAACGGACGGTGCACTCTGGATCAGAATGGGTGGCGTTGCGTCTGTAAACTGGGCTGGAGGGGCACAGGATGTGAAACCTCCATGGAGACTGCTTGTGGAGATGAAAAAGACAATGATGGAGGTAAGAAAAATAATGGTGGAGGTAAGAAAGATAGTGATTAAGATTGCAGCGCAGAGACATTGAAAGACGTTGAGTCTGTTAAAAAGATGAACAGTTTTTACTTTTATTATTTACATTTTATTTATTAGTTATTGAAAATCCGATCTCTGATCAAGTTATAGTAAACCACGGATGAAATTCTGCATGTTTTATGCGTGTGCTAGTCTGCTTCAGTCCAGTCCAGATTGGAGCCTGCAGTATACTGAAGACAGACACTGTTTTTGTTTTGCATTCCCAACAGTGCTGATTTGAACTTTCACTGCTGCTATGTTTGCCCAATAGCACACATTTTCTAGCAATTCTTTCTCTAGCCTAGGGTCGCTGAGGCCAGCTATAGCACGCAACCGCTGTTCCTGCTGAGATCAGCTAACTTAGCACAAATAGAGGTTTGAAACCAAAGTGTTCTAGGTCTGTATGAGTTTTACTCTAAGCAATGGCGTTACCAACTGAGTCATCGGGGAGCCAGGGTTCACAAGTATACCTGCTTTAAACTATTGGCTTAGTTTCTAAACAATAGATATTGTGTGGGGAATGGGTCCTGCAAGATTATCATTCATATTGTGAAAGTAATCAGTATATTGGTTAAAACTCTTAAATCTATGTTATAATTGTCACAGAACATAAGGCTCTTTATATCAATGGACTGTGGGCAGTTCTTGTGGTGTTAGCCTTAAGACCACTGCCATAACGTTTCAGATCATGCAGAATTTTAGTTAATTCTTAAACTCAGGCTTAATTTTCAAGCTGATTTCAGCAGTTCTTTAAGAATACATAATCTTAAATTCTAAGACAGCAGGTTCAAATCTAAGTCCATATGATTTTACAGGCTTCTGGAATCTAGTTACTTTTTATAACAATTTCACACACTACTGAAATATGATCCAAGCAAAGAGCCTTGTGTTATTGTGAAAATTCAATCACAGAGACCAAGTACACAATTCAGCAGTTCTTAGGATCTCAAACTCAGTATTCCTGGTTATTAGCACTTTAGTATATTTAAGATGAAATTTAAGAATCTGTTTCTCTTACCAATGTTGTAGGCTTTACCTCAGGCTTTCTGAGTATCCAAAAAACTGATAATGACAAACAACTTCAAACAGAGAGGACATTGCCTTACAATAATAAAAATAATAATCCTTGCATTTGATATAGTGCTTTTCACGTCGTCTAGTCGTTTCCAAGCGCTTCACAGAATATACTGTAAAGTGAATTGATTGTATATTTGTTGGCGAAATGCGGCAGCCAATTGCGCACAGCAGTGTCCCACAAACAGTCGTGGATTGAAAATGACCAATTTATTATTGTTTTGTTTTGGAGGGATTATTATTAAGTGGATAGAATTGTCCAGTTATGTAATGTGAACTACTTGTCTGATCTGGTAATACAGGATATAGCTCCTGGTACAGATTTCCAGCCAGGCTAGTGCTCTGTGTGAGGACCCAACAATCACTGGCACAGAGTGGAACTAAGAGGCTGAGGTAAATGCATGGGACCCATTACGGTATTTTCAGGTGATCTATTAATTTGTTGCCTTTCTCAATTGCTTTGATGTGAAGTGTCAGCTCCTGCTTATCAAGGTTGCTGCCCTCAGTTTGATGTTCACTGCTGTTGTCAAACAAATCTTGAAGGTGGGCTATAGGCAATATTCTGGACCATGTTTCTGTTGTGCCCCCACCCCCTTTGTTTCTCATGTCTGTATGAAACAATAGGGATACAGTTTGTAGTTTACCATAAAGGCTACAAAACAAAAGAAAAAGACAGACACTTGGATTTGAAAAGGAAAAAAATTGTTATCTGGGTGGGTGCTCCCATTTAGTGAGTGATATGATATGTCACCTCAGCTAGAGAAATATTACAACCTTTATTCGATAAAATAGGATGGTTGAATTTTTGCCCAACAAACCATTTACCAAATCAAAGTTCATTCACCTTTATCAATCTCTATGGCAGGGCAAAACCCTGGGCAAGTTTGCCTACTCCTGATAATAAGCCCTCAAGAAAAAAAATTAAATAACAATTTGGTCACTCAATCTGTTTGTGGGACACTGCTGTGCGGAATTGGCTGCCGAGTTTTGCCCACAAAAATGCAGTCAATTCACTTTACAGAATATTCTGTGAAGCGCTTCAAGATGGCTAGAAGACATGAAAAGCGCTATATCAAATGCAAGGATTATTATTATTATAAATATGACGGATGATGCTTATTTCTTTCAGATGGCCTTGTTGACTGCATGGACCCAGATTGTTGCCTTCAGCCTTTGTGCAATGCCAATCTGCTGTGCCTTGGATCACCAGATCCTCTTGATATCATTCAGCAGACACACATGCCATCTTTACAGCAAAACCTTCTATCATTCTACGACAGAGTCAAATTCCTCATCGGCAAAGGGACCACACATGTAATCCCCGGTGAAAATCCTTTCAACAGTGGGTAAGGCCTTTCTGAATAGAAATTAAAAATATTCATTTATAAGTCGGATATCATGAAAAGACTAAAGATTCAAAACAAAATGTCAAGAGAAGCATAGGATTCATTCATTTTACTTGTCTTGTACGGGCTCAGTTTTACTCTTTGAGCATGTCACGTGCAGTGACTAGGAAAATAACTAATTAACAGTAATTACCTATAAATACAGTCACCACATTTACAGTAAATCCTGAGAAGTATTTTGAGATGTTTTAATGACTTGACAGGCAGCTTTATTAAATGGAAAGATTATTAACAGTAAATGCTTGAAATTACATATTGCTGTGAAGCCAGAAATATGTAATTCCATCCTGCAGGAACTTCAGAGGGGTCTTTGTCTGCCATTCGTATGGGTCAATTGATGTACATGATGTTCATAAGGTTATTGAAATGATTCCTTGCAAGAATTGTGTTATAAATTGTGTGTAGTAGACTCCTAAATCCACATTGAACATGACTATGTTTGTTCTTTTGGTGCTCAACACAATATAGAATTTAATACAAAAAAAGTGATTTATGACTATGAGAGAAGTTAGGGGGAGTAAATGTGTTTGATGTGATAATTATCATCATGCAATAACTTTCGCTGGTATTAATTATCAGAAAGGACAGAACTGATGATGGTCATTTGATACTCAACACTGACCAACTGCTGGGTGGCACCACACCTCTCCCAGAGAGTGCTTTCTCCTGCTAGCTAATTTCAAAAGAAGCATTTGCCAAACTTGCAAGAACCCACAGGCAAACTGGGTAAAAGCATTCAGCCACAAATAGGGCAGAGGTTGTGTGCAAGAAAGAATGGAGTAAAATTTACACCTTTCCTGAACACTTTGCTTATGTTAAATAGCGGAAGGAATACATTCAGGAACGCCACTAATTATTTCCCATAATTTACCCCAGCATTAAAATTTGTCCATGTAATCAGTGCTGTTCACTGAAGCCTCTTGACCTCCTGTCAGATCTCGGTTAAAAGAAAAAACAGGAAACTAGCATGATATAGTCGGTTTGCGGATGTGCACAATTTTGGGGCTAAATTTTCAGTCAGGTGTTGCATGGTAGTAGTATCTTTGGTGTTGTCAGCCACAAATGGAGTTTTCCCAATATAATCCCACATCATGTAAACCAGAATGTCAACCCACATAAATCCAAAAATTGTAATTATGTAATAATTGCAGTATTATGTCATCACCCCAAGTGTAGAAGTATTTGTTCCTTTGTAGCTTCCGATCACAGAGATTGGCATTTAAATTCAGCTAAAAGCCAGAGACCAACGTAACTCAGTTAACTCAGTCGGTATTCTGCGAAGTAGCATTCAGACACTGGCTCCAGGATCAAAAAAACAAAGTAAAGTGTGCTAAATTCTAGCCAAGATGGTAGCGAGGGGAGTAATATCAGTTCCACATCCAGTCGTCAGGAATGGATGAAAAAATGTGATAATAAATCACATGGATCTGTTATGAAGTGACTCATTTTTCACCTTCTTTGTCTTTTTACCATCGTTAAATACTCTCAGTTTCCTGTGCCCCATTCAGCCCCATATCATAGTCACAAGAAATGCACCTTTTATGTTCCATTTATTGTTCTACCACAGGAATATTGCTTTGAGCAGTGAAGCGATTAGGAAAGGGAAGCCTTATTTAAATGCCAAGTCCTGGGCAAATGGGTGTTAACTTTTTAATGCTGCAACTAGAGCCAATCGAGCAATACTGAAACTTAGTCCTTTAAAAGTTGGGCTGATCTTTGGATAATAATAATAATAATCCTTGCATTTGATGTAAAGTGAATTGACTGTGTTTCACCCAGGCACTTTGAAGGGATAGGTTCTGAGCAAAGCCCAAATTTATTCTTGTCACCTGCATTTACACTGCAGTGGTGCAAATCAGTGTGCTGCCAACACTATCTCCACAAGGTAGGCCGGCAGTGGGTAGCAGCACGGTTTGCTTTGGGATCAATCCTATACTTTCTGCAGCAAATCACAGTAAAAAGAGCAGCATAATGTAGTAACCACAATGGGACACATACGCCTCCTAGTGACTCAGCTGAGAATTAATCTCACTGATCCCACATACAGATAAACTGGTTTGTCTGTCATATCGCCTTAATTTTAAGATTCTGCACCCATGAACTTTAATTTTAAAGTAATGACCCTAAGGCTCAGAGTTTGTAAGTTTTGGGGCCTCAGTTCTTCACACTGCGACTAAACCTCATTGGCATGGAAATGGCCTGATTTTGTCTCATCGTTGATCACTCTTCAGTTCTTCTTCTTGGTTATTTACTCACAGACCAAGTTCATGTTCTGCTCACTAGAAGCTGTAACGTCTATTTTCACCGTGCTGTGAGCGCAATGATGAGCATTTTACTGGCACTTCGGGATAGCCTAATTGCACAGATGTTAGGAGCTTTCTAGAGGAGCACACCTGAAAGCTATTGTGGCCTTTTCACAGAATGCTCAGCTGGAAAGAGCCTATACAATGAATACATTTAATTACAGTGAAAAATGAAGAAAAGCCTGTGAGGAATGATAAGCCACAAAACTAATTGACGATCGTGACTTGCCATTCTAAATGAGCTGAAATATTGTTTGATGTATGCCGAGTAAACAGGACAGTGATGTATTTCTGCAGGCATAAGAAGAGGAGCTTTGGCTTAGTCTGGGTGTCAGTAGTTACGGTGTTTGATGGAAAGTTGTGCGAGCTAAAACTGGGTTTCTGAATTTTCAGGTATCTTGGGAGCAATATACTGAATATATTTATTTAATTGATATTGCCATGGAACTTTGTTATGGGTGGTTAGGAGTATATTTCTATCAGTAACTTGCAGAGGAGCTAATCTTTTGCATCCACGATGTAGATGGTAATCTGAAATTGTTAAAATAGCTCAGCTGCAAAGATTTTAAATCCTTGGGTTCCAGCATTATTCCTGCAAAGCCATTTGAATTACAGTGCAGCCCTACTATAATGCACTTCACTTTAGTACATACTCACTTATAACGGTTGCACTATAGACCCCATTTATTGCACATGCTTCTAATCAACGATTGGCAATTTGTGTTATTACAATAAACTCCTATCTATCCAGATGTCACGTATACAGAATACTGAATTAACCAGACTAGATATGAAAACAATTCCGTGCAATAAAAATCAATTCCACGCACTAAAAGTCCACCTTGCATTTTCAAACGCATGCCAGCCCATGCGATCCCCACAACTTGACCCTTATCTATTTAGCTGTAGGCCTCAACGAAGTTATAGCTCTGAGTCGTGAGTACAGAATTATTGTTATTTGGGGTGGGGGGGTGGGAGGAGAGTTATTTGTTTTATTTTATTTATTTAGCATTAAGTTTTATTCATTGAGACTTGGGTTCGATTCCCTGGCAAGGCGAAACGTTGGGCAAGTTTCCTCACTCCACACGCCTCTGTTTACCTAGCAGTAAGTAGGAACCCGGTTGTTAGTCGATTGGCAGATCGCTTTTCTGGGAGTAATAATTCCTTAAAAAAATAAATAAATTTGATCACTTGATCCATGACTATTTGTAGAACACTGTTGTGCGCAATTGGCCATTGCCTTTTGCCCAAAAATATACAGTCAATTCACTTGCAGTATATTCTGTTACTTTGAGACATCTCTGGCTATTTGTGGACCTTTCTGTGTACAAATTGTCTGCTGTGTTTATCTACAAATATACAGTCACTGCAGTTTATAGTAAAATCTTTTGAGATGTGATAATGCGCTATTATCAAATGCAAAGATAATTATATAATTATTATTTAAAACGTTATATAATTATTATTCTAATGTTATATAATTATTATTTTAATATGTCACATGTAACCAAGGGGTACATGTGACACATTAAAGAGGTTTGGGATGAGGGGTTGCACCAATTGTGCTAGGGGAAGGTGGCAAACAGAGCGCCAGTAGAGGCCATCCTTCCCCATTCCTGTGCACTGCAAAGGAACTTACTTATAGAGAGCAGTGTTGGTGGTGGCTTGAGAGTTGTTCACTTTCTGTCCTTCTACTGTTCGCTGGTGTGTGATTGTGAGTGAACCAAGAAAGAATGGGGTGGATGGGAAGGAGGGGTTGGATTGAAAGAAGGAATCTCACTCTCAGTAACAATAAGACCACATTACACATGGTAATGCCAAACCAGGAACATCAGCAGGCTTCAAAAATGAAGCGAAAACAGTCCCGCGAACGAGACTTTGGAGTGACTTACTTGCTTAAATGCAGATTAAATCATTTGCTGATTTATTTTCAGAAGCTTTGAATTTTCCAGCAGATGTTGCTCAGTGCCAGGCTGGAACATTCTCAAGTGTCTCCAGGGCTGCCATTCAATGGCAATATACCAACTTATGTCAGAAACGTGCTTGTAGTGAGATGAGGTGATTGTCCCTGTATTGTGGAGCATCCCTCCATAGTAAGACATTCGTACCTAGCAGCCCAGCGATGAAATGAAAAAAACATGAACTCAATAGGCGTAAGCAGACATCGTAGCCCTGGAACTTGAATCTCAAACAGCTTGGCCGACAACCCATCATTTGCACTGCTCAGCTATCTTTCTACAATTTTCTTTTTATATCTAGAAATCTTCTCTTTGTTAAGTTTATTGCTTAGAATCTTGTTTGGAGTTGTAATGCATACAATCATCACTCGGTTACAGTCTCTGGTACGTAGAAAGTACAAATCACACACCAAGGAATGAAAGAAATTTGCAATTTTGTCTGCTGCACTTAGTGTTTGTTAAGGGTGGTCTGCCCATAAAGTCTGTCCACTATTCGAAAAGAGAAGGGAGTTTCTAACTGTGTCCTGATCAACAAGTCCCCCAAATAAAATTGGTCATTCACTCCATGGCTGCTTGTGGGACACTGCTGTGCGCAACTTTTATTCACAAAATACACAGCTAATCCACTTTACAGTATATTCTATGAAGTGTTTTGAGACTCTCGACGATGTTATAAGTC